TATAATCTCATTTATAGATAACAAAAAAATATAATGACATGTAAAGAACAACGCTGTTCAAGAAGGAACATGTTGTTTGATGCTTCTTCTGATTTCCTTTTTTTAACGTATAAGGATTATCTCCCGATCATCAGATAAGACTGAACAATTGTGCTCAACTTTTTGACTTCACACGTCATCGTGTATATATTCTTTGTTAATATTAGTTTTAAACAATCATTGAATCGAACTTTCGTTGTATGAAACTTAGTATTTGTTTTTTAATCTTGCTTTACAAAGGTCAATATATTTTGATTATCATTCAACAAAATTCCAAATAATATTTTATGTCATAATGAATTTCGGACACGATACAGACGGAAAAATAGATAATTTTAAAATCATCTTATTGTTATTCGTATAAAATAATTAATATAAAATACAAAATTATTTTTACAGCTTTTTTTTCTACCTTTCCGACTTAATTGACTAACACTATCGGCACCAGCAGTTTGAGATACAACATGTAAATATATTTATGATAAAAATAAAAATTTCATTAAAAAAACAAAGCTATTTCCACTGATAGCTTTAACAAGATCATGTTGAACACAAGCTGAAATCACTACAGCACCACCAAACGATCAACTAACAAGTACTACTCGTTTGACATTATAATTTAATCGAAGTAGATAAATGACTTTGAGCAAACCTTGAATCTTAAGTTAAAAACAATCAATCATAATAGAACTTTAATATTAGTAAAAATCGAAGTTTGGAAAATATTTCATCGAAATTCCACTTTCGATGACAATTTCGACTATCTCTTTCTATTCTACATAGAATTCTGCCGGTAATAGCTATAAAACGATGTTGTACTGCACTACCAAGGTCGAACAAAACAGTGCTGGTTTTCTAGGATCTGAGTAATGATCAATTACATTATTCTTTTATTTTCTAATTATTTATATAAAAAAAAAATCTTCTATATGTGAATTCATATTTACACATGGATTAAGATCCCCTGGAAATCGATAATCTATTTTTACTGATATTAGATTTGGATAAGCTATAATCTCTCTTGCTAGTTCAGGATAAATGGCCTGTAAAAAAAATTATAAAATCTAATTGTTATTTAAAATAGCATTGAATCTTACACACCAGGTCCCTTATAACCTAAAAGATAAATTCAATTTTTTATATAACGAATTTTAAAATTTTCGCTTGATTGAAACATTTTTTTTAATCAAAAGATAGCGCTTGAAATTCTACACAAAGTGGTGTACTTTATTTAATGAATAAAGTCTCCATTTTTTTTTAGAACAAACGTAATCGTATATCAATGTTGTTATGTAGTTCCAATCCATAGTTTCAGCTTGTTCATCTCATAAATTATAATCTAATGGATTTCAATCAGACAGATTCAGTGGCTAACAGTTGTTCAGTATGAATGCATGAAAATAGTCAATACACTATTTTTCATTGAGGTAACGCATGTGAATCTTAGAAACATTCTGCTAACATCTAGTTTGCCAAATTCACCTATTCTTATTATACAAATCAGTTCCAGTTGATTCTTAGGCCTTTTTTTATGGGAAATAACCAAGATATTCATGCGATAGCAGCAGCACGTACTTCGTTTCAACAGGCAATTTTCTTATTGACACTCGTTTCTTAAAAAACAACAAGGCGCCACTTCATCTTTAAGACATTCACTTTTGTTCGAACTGTACATATGTGACAAATTGATAGAACCAGTATCATTCATTATTTTTATTCACAAATTAATTGCTCACTTTGAAACTACTCCACCTACATCACGTGCGGATCTATCGCTATTTTCATGTCTTTACTTTTACAAATATATCAATAACAATTATTGGATTGTATGAGACATACTCAAAAAGTTTCGAAACTGATTTCATTTAAAAAACAACAAGAAGCATCACTTCATTGGTATCATGATTAATTACATAAATACTTAATAGATCAGAAATCATAACATCTATACATCAAGGACTGCATGAACTATACACAGACAACAGTATCAATGCAGTAATGCTTCTTGTTGTTTTTAAATAAAATTAAGTCTCGGAACTTGTTAAACAACCCTGGTATGACATATGATTTTGTAGAGAATTTTAAGTACTATCGTTTTAATCAAGTGAAAATTTTGAAAATTCTAACGTTGCAGTTAGTTATGAACCATCAGTTATATTCAAATTAAAGAATATCACCTCCACCTCCACCAGCTCCAGCTAACATAACAAGAGCTCCACGTAGATAACTCCATTCTTGCATATTGTTGTATACAAGTATACGTACGTTTGCATGACGTTGAGATGGATTCATTTCAAGCGTAAAGTAATCATATGAAATGATTCTTTTTCTTTTTTTTGTTTTATGCACTGATTGAACTAAACAGTCATCAGCTGATTATTACTGACATCTAACTTATCATATCATTCGATTGGTTGGATGATAGACGTTTGAAAAAATGATAGAACAAGCAAGGAGAGAGGGGGGTCAATTGTATTTCATTGAAGATCGTCAAATGTTACAATATGGTAATTTTATTTTTATTAGATTTTTGCTAATTTATATAATTTTTCTTTCAAATTTTCAGTCATCATTTTTGAAAGATTTACCTTGTCGCAATCCAGATAGTTTTACTCGACTTCATACTAATGGTGCTATTCGTCAAACAGTAAAGAATAGATGATTATTTTATATATAATATTATATGAAAATTTATTTTAGTCTGTTCGACCAACATATACAGCACAACTTGATTCAAATGCAAAAGGTATTAATATTAGTAAATATGATCATATAAATCAAAGAAGAAAAACATTTTGAACTAATATCTCAATTTTTACATACAATTTTGAACTTAAGAAAAAAATTTGTAAGGATAAGAATTTGTACTAGAGACTGTCATGAGGTCGGAACAATCAACGCTAAATTTACACTTGAGAGTAAAGTTCACGTTCGTCTATTGTGATCTTATAAAATAATGATTATTTCAACAGAATTTTGACATATTCTTTAATTGTATAAAATGATTTAAATCTTCTGCATACTAAGCAGGAAATCATAATCTTAATAACAGGTGAAAATTTACCATTCAAGAAAGAAACATCTGCTGATATCTGAAATTGACAGATTATTTGTTACTATCCTGAAACAAATATCATAATTCCAAATGATAACAGTTTAATGATCAGCAACTCACGAGAGGACTATCTCAAGTGACATCCACCGTTTGAGCTTATATTTGATCTTCAGACAGATCTCAGTGAGATTAGCAAAAAATCTGAAAAGGTTCGTCCCTATGGGCCATTGGCATCGAGTTGTGACTAGTTTACCGTATTTTTGGATACTTCCCGGAAGACCGAATAATGGATTTTCAATATAAAATTTTTTCTATAGATAAGTCTAATGATTCTTAGAATATTCCTTCATCGAGCTTTTGTAACATGCCTATGGCAATAGACTATTTTTGAAAATTCAATATCTTGACAAAGGAACATTCTAAGAATCATTAGACTTATCTATAGGAATAATTTTATATCGAAAATCCACTAAATAGATTATAATTCAGGGACGATATTCTCAATGAGATCTGCTTGTCAGTCCAATATAAGCTCAACCGGCAGGAGTTAGTTACTTCGTCAGTGTGGTGGCGAGCAAAAGTTTAGAGCAGTTGTTTTCTGCTCAATGGTAATAGCTAGCAAGAGTCTCAAAACAAAACATTTGTGTAACTAAAATGATTGTCTATTAGGATTGGTAGGTTTGAAGAGTTCAACAAAACTGTTTGAATGAGAGTCTGCAAAAAATCAAGGATTCCTGACATCCATTCGAAATTTTTGGGAAAAGATTTTATTTGATAGAATAAGATGAAACGTCTTCCATCTTTCTTCATCGAATTGTATTCAATTTACAGAAGGCCCAAGAAAAAAAAATATTTCTTGAACCAAACTGTTGAATGGAGATCAAAAATCCTTAGTTTTCTTCAGACCAGTTTTGTTTCAATCCTAATAGAGAATTCTTTCAGCTACACAAATGTTTTTTTCTCGATTCTTGCTAGCTGTCAACATCGAGAAGAAAACAAGTGCTCTAAACTTTTGTCCGACACTATCGTTAGTGCTTACCGAAGTATTGATGCATACTTCCGTGTAAAGGACATATTTTGATAGAGTTGATTACTCATTTGCTCAATATTTATATCAACACTACACATCCTTGAGCTTTCCTAGCTTTGCCAAGATATAAATTTTTATTAGAAGAGCTAACTTTATTTGACACATTGCATTTTTATTCTTTTTAGTAACATGAAATATAACATATAATAGACCATAATTAACTTTAGACTTGTATAAATTTGATTACCAAATAATAATTTTTTTCTTTTCGAAATAAACAACATGTTCTAATGAATAATTTTGTTTACAACACAATCAAACAAATATGTCAAAATTAAAAAAAAAAAAGAAAAAATTCATATCTATAATCACATTGACTTTTTCTTTATTAATGGAATTATGTTTCTTGCAATAGAATTTCTGATGAGTGAATATATCAAAATATCTTTAAATAAATTCTAATTCGAACAAAAAAAAAAATGTATATGAATTCAATTTTGTTTTGTTTTGTATTGAATAGAAATAATTAATGATCCAGTACCAATGCTCATCCATCGTCTATCTCGTTTACCAGTAAATATTGAAATTTATCAAAATTATTCTTTAAGTATTTAATTTAGAAAGATGAATCAAGAAAACGACCAATACCTGAAGATGAAAGTCAAGTACCATCATTTACAATCGATCAAACAAAACGAACTAAACAAGCAACATCAACAGATTCTAATCAACAACAATCGAATGTAATTGATTATAATGAAGAAATTTCATAAGAAAAAAAAAAAAATTTTATTTCCTTTAAAACAAAAAAGAAAAAAAATTCACCGGAATAAAAAGTTATTCGTTTTTTGCTTGTTTATTATTTTTCATTTGAAATTATTTTGTTTGTTGTATTGTTTTTGAATTTTTACATGTTATTATTGGTATTGTTTCACGTAAACTATAACTTTGAGTTATTGGTACATGTGGATGTTCAATCATTTGATACCAATGATCACGATTTATACCATCAAAATGACAACCAATACCAATACAACCAATTAATTCATTTGAACCAACACGATCATAATCAATAACTTTAAATATAAGATCAGCATTTTCACGTTCTTCATTTGATAAATCAAATTCTAAACTTTCATTATATATTGGATTAAGTGTATTTGATGAAACAGATGTTTTTTTCTTTCGAATTTTTTTTCCATTTATTAATAAAATAACTTTAACATATGGATCAGATTTACCAGTTATATCCATTGGTTTTAATGAATTTGCTTTAACAATAGTTACCGTAATCCGTTTTGCATTTGGTAAACAACATAACGATACAGTTAATTCACCTAGATCAGGATCGCTCTAAAAATAAATTAATCAATGATAATATTTTAGAAAATTAGTTTTCTTTTTTTTTTTTAATCTCACAATTTATTTTGTCTTATTTTATAAGACGACATTCTTGTCAATTTGACGCGTTTTATAAAATGATGTACTGATTAACTTATTATACATAACTGCTTCGTTTCTTATAAATATATATGAAAGAATTAAGAAAGACAAGTTTAAGATGGCAATTGAGATTGAAAGGAATCGTATTTATTTATTTATTTGTTTTGATGCATTAAAACTATTCTTTGTTACTATTTATAAATTCAAATTATTGGAACTAGGAATACAAAGATGGCCTTGAAAGATACATACAATCATAAACTAGCGATAGAAATCATCCAATTCTTTTAGAATAAAAATAAATCTGAATATAATACACAAAATCAATATTATCTAAGATTTTCATATGTTAATCAGCTTCGCTATAGATTTCTTATTTATTTTTTCATTAATCGTAACAATGATGATTAAAAGTATATTCCTCCTTTCATACAAATGAATGCTTGTACTAAAATAATTTTCTTTTTTGTTTTATTCAATAGCGTGCTGATTCTGGATCTATATAGCATGATTAACAATATAAAGCTTGTCTATGATTAGAAAAAACTGTCGAGTTTTACGTGATACAAAATTAATTAATATTTTCATATATGTTTTTTTTACTCCAGATCTTTACGGTGTAGGATTTTGTTTTTTTATTTTACATAAAACACTTCAAGTAATATGACTTTAGAAGTAATTGGTTACTTTCTATTTATTGATGATGAAGAAACCATTTATATTACAGTGAAAGTCATTTGATTTCCAAGTCTTTACTCTTTTTTTAAGCATATTTTGATTATTTTTAAATATATTAGTATGAAATACAGTACATCTTATGGTTTATTTTCCATAAATAAAGAATAAAGCTTTACAAAAAACATTTGTACTAGACAAAAAGAAACATGTTGTTTTTCTTCCAAGGCACGTTCTCACCTAGATCATAAGAATTTTATCGGCTTATCATTAGAGTGGATCATAATGTGCATAAACTCTTTATATTAGTTTTATGAAAATATATACATTATGAATTTTTTTTTTGTTTAAAATAAATTCAAATTTCGATGATAATACTAATGCAAAATCTATTAGTGCTGTAATAGAAATATACATCAATCTAAGATGGAAAATGTTAACGAGTATTTTTATGAGTGTTTTTTTCTTTATTTCAGATGAAATATAAACATGACGTTATGAAAAGAATCTAAATGTTTATTAAATAAATAAAAATAAGAAAAATACAATAGATGTTCTATTATGCATATCAAAACAAATGAATGAGATATAGAAAATAATCTAAAATTGAATCTTTTTCTATATTTGACGATAGAGTCGTGCATAAATATTAGCTATGAACGAATGTATGTTAATAAAAAATACGAACTGATGTTTTTTTTTCTAATACAGCCTTTAACCTTATTCGTTGTTCAAGGTATAAGATGCAGTATATTTTGTATTTCCTTGCTGTATATATATACATATATAATATGTTTAAAAAAATTAAGAATGCAAATATATGTATGCAAAAGGGAGGGAATAATTAGTTGTTTTCTCATGCTGCGCTGTATTCGATTTCCTTAACTCGTTACTTTTCCAAACAGTTCTTTTGTATTAATAAAATATAAAATAATTTTTATATGAAGAAAAGACTAGCTAATTTTATATTAATGAACCTTATAAAAGTGAAAAAAAAGAAATATGACAAAAATACTTCATACAATGTAGTTTTAATGTGAATGAACTTTATGAATAACAAAATTATATGTGTTTTTGTATATATCTTAGATCGTTTTATTATTTTTTTGATCTAAATTTTCTCACATTTTATTATTAGTACGTTCGATTAGTATTCCTATTACAATAATTTTCTATAGAATTTACGTCGTTTTTGATGATTTTATTATTATTATAAATGAATAGACATGAAGATTGTTTTCTTTATGTTAGAAAATTTCTATTTAAGAATTTATTTCTATTTTCAATGAGTTTTCTTCTACTGAATCAATAATCGAAATACAGTATCGTTTATTTGCAAGTGAAAGCCAGTCATTTCTATTGACAAAAAACCAATGCGAGAAATTTTCATTAAAATAACTTTGCTATTATTGGGTAACCGTATTGAAAGGTGCAATTTTAATGAGTGCACTCGTATTTATCAAAAAGTAAGGGTAAAACATCAAAGGATCGGAAGAAATAATTCTTGTACTCGAACAATAGCATATATATAAATGAATTTTTCCTAACTTTATAAGTTTGTTTTTTTGTTTCTAATTAGTAGAAACTAACCTCGGTACCAGGTACAATATATTTTGTAAATGTAATAACTTGTGAAGTAATATCAGGTTTGGAGCAAATATCATCAAATTTAACTGTACCAATTAAATTTCTTTTTGATGAACGACGAAAATCATATACAGAAAATAATAAAGTTCGTTTACATAATTGTTTATATGTTATTTGAAATTCAAATGTTTCATTAAATTGTACAGATTGTGCATGTTTATAAACTTTAGTTTGAAATTTTTTTCGACGATCAGGTAATAAACAAAGTTTTATAAATGGATTAGGTAAAACTTTTGAATTTAAATTACGATACGGTAAATGATCAATTGATAAAATTGTTATTATTAATGATGTTAAAGATTGATTATAAAAAAGTGTAAATGTTATACTACCTGAATCATAAGATGGATCATTTGATTGTATAGGTTTGTTATATAGATTAGGTTCTAATTTACCAAGATTATCATTTATATAACGAATAGATTTCACACCATTTAAACCTGGAATTTCAATTGATTCCATTCGGCGTATTGAACGTCGAATTGGAAATGTTGATGTTGTATCTGTTGATTGTCGAATAAGTGAACGTGATTGATTAATAATTTGTATTCTCGCATTATTATTAATACTATTATTGTTATTATTATTATTGTTATTATTATTATTTAATAAACCTTGAACATTAATTATTGGATTATCGTGATAAATTTTTGGTGAAAGCATTGTTTCATCAGATTTATTTGATTCTGATACATGACGTCTTAAAACTGATTGACGAGGTGACAATTGATTAGTTAATGATTTTAGATGTGATATTGTATTTAAATGAGAACCATGTAAATGAGTATTACTAGAATTTGATGATGTCGATGAACTTGATAATGATTCTGATGAAAATAAATTAAATGTTACTTCATTTGTTGATACAGTTATAGATGTATCTTGTTCAGTACTATTCATTGATGTAAATGAAGATTTCATATTATCAACTGTTTGTCGAACTTTATCCATAAGAGTATTTGTTGGTGTTGATAATTTTTCTATTTGATTTTCAAAAAATGAACGTAATTTAAATGTATCACTCATGAAGAATTTATTATGTTCAAATCTAAAAAAATGAAGAAAAAAAAGACAAATAGGAACATTCTTTGACAAAGAATCTAATAAATATAAACACTCCACATGCTTTCCTGTCTGCATGTTTAGTTTGTTGTAATTATTCTGATGCTGTATGACAAAAGTTAAAATAATGCAGACAGATTAATGTCAAAATACCAACACGAATTCAAGTGCACTAATTGACATTAATAGAATAGTGCATTACGATAAAAGTAGTAAAATCACATTTCGCATTTTTGTTATTGTCATTGATGGTTCCAAATGAAAAACCATGAATAGTCATTTTTGATTGACACATATTCCTAAAAAGACAAACAAAAATGTAAAAGTTCATATTAAAGGAAACAACAAAATTTTCATTACACGGTTGTTCGACTAGATGATGTTTGTTCAAAAAAACCAAGTCTCTTGTTTGCTTTTGCCCTTTTAATTATTATTTCCTTATGTTCTTATCTTTTTTTTTCTTTTTTTTCTTCTTATATATTTTTTTCTAGTTTATAGCATTCTTTTCTTTCCGCATTCTTCATATATTTTATAATTATAGTTTTCTATAAAACGAGAACAAAAAAAAAAAAGAAAAGAACATATAGATGAGAGTATACGGGAAAATTCAGTAAGGCATCATCACTTGACAAGATATATAGCTTGACATATATAAATTCTAATCTCTATTTCTTTTCAACATAGTCGATGTCATCTGTGATAAAATGTTCCTAAATATAAAAATGAAACGATACAACAGTTGATTTCTTAATTTAATGTATATATATATATATCTATATATATATATTGGGTACTCTGCCTATGTCAGATAGAATAATTTATCATATGTTTTGTGATCAAAGTCAAATGTTTAATATAAATGAATATTTTATTCGGAAATTGATCGTTAGAGAAAATTCTATTAGTCGTTGCACACGAATAATTGATAATATGATACAATATATCATTAATTTTAATTGAATAGAAATCAATTAGATACAAGATAGATTGATTAGGAAACGAGTATATGAGAATTAGTTAATCGGAAGAAATAAAAAAAACAGAATAACAGAAAATTTGTTAAATATGTTCTGTCGTATTTGGTCAGTCTATATGATGTAAATATGAATGTTCCGTTGTTAGGTTTCTGATGTTATAGGTTTTTATTTGTCTATTATTAAGATAATATTTAACATTAAAATGACAAAACACAAAGATGCATCATTCTATTTTGAAAGATCGGATTTAAAAATATTTGTAATTATTCAAAGTACAATACGCATAAATCTCATTCACATGATTAAAAAAACCAATCGTGAAGTTTAGATCAAATTGAAGAAGTAGTTTCGATATATATGATTAGTTTAAGAATTGTAAAAATATTTTTAATCGAATACGATAGAAATTTTTTTCTTTTCAATTATTTTTTTTTCAATAAAAATTAATTCATTTCATGTCAGAATATTTAAATTAATAATAAGAACTATTCTATTATTATGAATTATTTATGTCGAACAAGTGAGATTTGAGTATATACTGGTATTAGTTTAGCAGATGCTCCATAGTGAATATATGATTACATTAAAGGTAGTGTTTCTCACTGTCAAAAACAAAAGCGTTCTACTTTTTCTTATAATATAGTAGAACATCAATTTTAGCGTTACCATGACATATAATGAAACATCTGTTAAGCAAATATCAAGAACGTTTCTTCATATTGAATGTATTGATGTAAAAATATAACACACTAATTTCTTCATCTTTTCAATCTAATTGACCTTAACCATGAACCATTCATCTTCATTTTCTATACATTGAGAAAACTTGTGAAGTCTATTATATTTTTTTCTTTTTGTCTCACTATAATTTGACACCTTATATTTTCTCTAATAGCTATAGTTAAGAAAATACGTGATTATTTTATTGGACCAGAGTTATAGAGTTTATTTGTAAGTCTTTAATTACTCCGATTCTAAGAACTATTGGGTGCAACTTAAACTTTGGTCAAGTCTTCTTCGTCTATATATATATATATAAGAAAAATAATGTCATAGTGACATCTAATATTTCATTACTTGTTTGGTTATGAATTCCAACCTATACAAAAATTTATTTTCTCTTGTTCTTCTTTGTCTTATCTTTTTTTAATGATAGTAAAAAATTTTTAATCATGTCTACTTGGCAACAACATACAATATCAAATATAGCAATAAATAATAGATCGAAATCAGATGAAATATTAGAAGGATTAGGAGACATTAATCATACATCAGCACTTCCAATTGATTTTGGTATGTGAAAGTTTATCAATAACTTTTCTTTTTTCAAAGATGTTAGAGTTACGTAATTCCGAAAGGATCTATTTATATCTTCTTTACTTTTTGAAATTATCTAACAGAAAAAAAAAGATAACTTTAGTTATACAAATTTCATTCATCTACATACAGTAATTAGTTAGTTAATGTACATATAATCTAAAGAAAGAACTAGTTTTTGACGATTATTCATCATTGATTATGCATCAACCATTTGTGCGTCTAATGTATTTATTTTATTTTTCTATTCCTGGTATCGAACGAAATAAACATATTTATTATATTAACCAATAAATAACGAATTTTAATCGAAATTTTATTATATTGTTCGGCTAGATTCTTCCAATATGTATATATATCCATTCTACTAGTATTCTTTATTTATCTTTGAAACTCGTTTGATTTCATATGAAGTGAATTGGCAGCTGAGAATTCTTGTCGAAGACTTTCATATAGAATAACATTCTTATCATCAAGCATGTTAGAATGTTCGAATTTGGATTAGATATATTCAGACTAACAAGGATATTTCATAAATGTAGCACGTCCACAAATAATCTCATGAGTATACTCTAACGATATACTATTTCTAGATTAACAAAAAGACATAATTGCTTTTTGAATTTTTTGATAATTATCAAAAGAAGTTCTATTCTCTTTCCTGTTGTTTTATCCAACACGATTATAAAATGTTATAAATACATTTTCGTAATCATGGGGATGAGTATCATTCTCTTCATCAATTTATTTTCATAGAAACATTCATAATATTGGATAAATATATTATGACACGAGTTCATTTCTACAATGAATGACTTATATCATCTATTCGTTGTTCTAACAACTTTCCGTGTATGTTCTGCTTTTCAATTGTTGATTACTCGTTTCTATTAATCTATAAAATATGTAGAGCTTTTGTAATTATTTATGGTTTTGAAGAACATGTTAGTTGTTTTTGTTTTTCTTACTAGCAATTAATCAAGTTCTTTTTGAATATTATTGATTCAAACTCATATTTAATTCTTAAGTTTCTTCTGATGTTATGTAAATTAAATATTCATTTTAATCAAAATAAACATAATTCCAGTATGATTATCTGTATTATATATTTAGGAAAATTATATAATCAATCAGATTATAGTGATATTGAATTAATTATTGAATCTGAACATTTTTATGCTCATCGTGCTATACTTGCTGCTCGTTCCGAATATTTTCGAGCATTACTCTATGGTGGTTTACGTGAATCACAACATAATAATCGTACAATTGAAATAAAAGAATGTAAAGCAAATGCATTTAAAATTCTTTTACGTTATATTTATACTGGACAAATTAGTTTAACTAAAGAAAATGTAAAATTTTCATATTAATTTTTTTTGATAAGATTAAATATTTTTTGTTTTTCTTTAGGAAGATGTTTTACTTGATTTACTTGGTCTTGCACATCAATATGGATTTGAACAACTTGAAAATAGTTTATCAATATATATACAATCAATTTTATCATTAAATAATGTTTGTATTATATATGATACAGCTTGTCTTTATAAATTAAATAATCTTCAAGAACATTGTGCTCTATTTATTGATAATCATGCAAAAGAAATAATTAAAACAAATGAATTTTTAGCATTATCATCTGTAAGTTTTCTTATATGAATATTAATAATTATTAAAATAAGTCGGCAAAATTTTAAGATTATTCAATTATGGATTTATTTCTTTTGTTATAAAAGTTGATGAATGTAAAACTACTAATACACCTAAGTAAACACTCAGCAAGCTATTGAAAATAATACAATACAGTTCCATATCTAAGAAATCAGAAGTGTGGATTAGAAATCTATGGAGCAGTTAAAATATTATCTTATCACTACTTATTCATTAAACAGCTGTTCCACCGTAAAAATATGATTTAAAAGGCAATTTTTTTAAGTAAATTTTTCAAATATTTGTAATTATAAACGACCATATTCTGAGAAATATGACATTTTACGTAGTTCAACATGATAATCATATATTTTTGTGTTAGTTATACAAAGAAATATGATGATTATCGAAGCAAAAGACGTTCATTTATTGTCTTCGTACATGAAAGTCATATATGGCCTCTACTTTGCTTCATATTTCTTCTTATGTAATCCTATTCCTTTGTATACAATCAAAATCATATATTTATCGAAAAAGAAATTATGCAAAAAAATAACCTTTATAAAGAATCAAATTAGAATCGAAGATGATTATGTTCCGTTTTCGTTGATTTTACCCATATTTTTATTATCAATCGAATAATATGTGATAAGATTTTCAATAACATACTATTTCAAAATACAAGAAGTAATGAAACTCAGTGAATATTATAGATGTGACTGTGTAATTTGCAAGAAAAAAATGACAGTGTAATGCTCCGAGATGAGAAAAACCGTGAAAAAATTGGTAGTGTTCCATCATCGAAAATTTCAACATTATTCCATGAAGGAGAGGGGCAATAGTGAAACAACATGACTTGCGATTACTTTTCTCTATTGAACATTGTCATATGAGCATGTATTCTTTGTATGACTGAAACGTCATGTTCTGAGAAGAAGCTACTTTACCACGCGTGCACTTCCTCACGTAAATTCATGATACTCATATGTAGAACATATTATTTTTATCTTCTTTCTC